GAACTTAGCCCAGTAGCAAAGGAGCCTACCAAAGGGGAAAAAAACAAAACAAAACAACAAAACAAAACAAAAACAGCAGCTTAGACTGAAGCACCTGACAGAAGGGGAATTTCCTTTTCCCCTTTCATTCTCCTGGAAGTAGCTGATCTAGTAAAATAGGGTTGCAGATAGCCAGACTCCACTCTCAAGCCTGTCTTTGACTGACGTGTGGAGAGCCAATGGTTCCTCAGTCAGGTTCAACAAGAAGACAGTGGGTTGGTTCCTGAAAATCTATCTCAGACTGAAATGACAAAGGAAAATGTGAACTTTGCAACCCATCTCAGCTAGCAATAATGAGGACTAGAATCTAAGAGGCATTAATTAACCAAGGAAAAAAAATTGGCTTGCTTCAGATGTTCTCTTATTAATACCAATAACAAGCCATTACAAACATTTATTCTAATTTATGGACACCTGCTTGACATCAACAGCATAGAAACACCCTTCCAATTATTTTGTGGTACAACAGCACACTCGTGTTACAGGGAGCATGGAAGGCTTTTCTCATTTCCTGTGCAACCACCTCTAGCTCTTTGTATATCTTCCTATTTAAAATTACCAACAGGCTTCAAACATATTTGTCTAGGTTTGCAAGCAGTAGGAGGTATTTTTTGAAGTTCTTGAAATATATACATACACACACACACACACACACACACACACACACACACAAACACACAGAGGTCCTGGGGTCATTCGGTCTGCATGCAACATTCCACCATCCTCTGGGTGCACAAGCTTTCCTAGAAGCAGGATCACATGGTGACCTGAACTCTCCGAAATTCCACACTTCATCCTCCCTTCCCCTCCCCCAAGCAATTGCAATTATCTTTTGCAATCAAATGCATTTCTTATTTATGGCAATGTCTTTGTCACAACAAAGAAATGTAAGATAAGTGACGACTGGAAGGGCTTTAGAAGTCAGCCCAAGACATTATTTTTTCCTATTAGCCCTTACCAATGTCAAGTGCAAAATTTAAATTAACAAGCACTTCCCTTATTGGAATGACTTCAGCACTTTTGCTGCTTTCATTGATTTCTATTTACTTTGGCAGCTCCAGACGTGAAGAACATATTTCTCTGTGAAAAGGAAGCAACCTAATACCACTATCATATATAGATGAGTGCTGAGATAAAATGTTGGGATGAGCTTCTTCTAAAAATTAACATAATAGAAGCAGCACACTATTTATGAAGTGTTCTTACTGGTCTTACCTTCCCGTTAGTGTCACTTTAAGGTTGTCTCCTGCCAATATTTCTCTATATTAACAACTGGTCTATCATACAATAAATATGAAGTCAAAGTCATTTCAAAGCTGAACAATTCCCTGGCCAATATGTCATCTACCAGGTACACTAGACACTGAGCTATCATTGGCAAAACTCAAAACTAAGAGAGAGAAGCCAACATGTTGCTGCTGGTGGCTGCCATATTTTATGGATATAAAACAAATACATTATTTCAATCTTTGGAAATCACTGTATTATGTATATATGCATATATATGTATTTATATGTGCATACACATATATATGTATGTATGTGTGTGTGTGTATGGCAAGCATCAGTAGCCATATATACACATAGACACAAATATATATTAGTAGGCAGTGTTGTTTAGGATGCCTTTTTCTCAATCAGTGTACATGTTTTCTATCATCAGATCTGACTTCTTTGGGAATTTAAAAACCTACAAGAGACAAAATCCCCCTCATATTAATTATCTATTTCCATTACATATAATCTGACTAAAAATGCTGTGCCCCCTGTGATTCTGAACCCCAAACTGTAATGATAGAAACAGCCAAATTATTTTCCTTGTTTCTTTCCTTTTCTCTTCTCCCTACATGGTAATGACTAGAATAAGAAGGAATGTGGCCTAGTTGGAAGCCTTTATTTGTTCTTCATAAAAGTCTACCCTCTCTTCTAGTAGGTCAGGTCATTAGGGCAAAGTAAAATAGGTAACAGAATTTTGAGTCACCATTCCTAGGAATCCCATATATCCTTTGTCCTCCATTTTTTGGGTTTCTTGACCATTTGCCAATACCTAGTGCCTCTATCAATCCAATGGGCAATTTATATATGAATTGTACTGGGTAGTTAGAGAGGTAAAAAAACATAGGCTCAACCCTAGTAGATTCAGATGGCATAAATTTACTCCTACCACACACATACATGTACCTTCAGCTTAAAAGAAAGCTATGACAATAAATGTTTCCACTCGATCAATAAAATGATTCCATTCAACCAATAACCATTTTCTGCTTGGTAGAGGTTAGTTCCCACCCCTTGTTTTTGCCAGGCATTAGAGATAGTTCCTGAACTGACCCACCTTCTGACCTTTCATTACCCATGGGCCCAGACAGGAAGTCCTGAATGACTTCTCCTGTTGAAGGCTCTGGATTGGAGGGGGAGGGCATTTTGACAGGCTGAATGTAATTGCCTCAGTTGCAACTTGGCCAGAACACTCTAACACTCCCTTACTACAAGGAGTGCTGGATCCTTTAATGACCACAGACAGTTAAGGATCTCTGTTTTATGTCTCATCACGATTACTAGAAGACTTGGCTGTGTAAGCTAAAGCAGCTGTTGGGCCACATCAACATTAACCATGTACGTTCTACTCCCACTCAGATCTCAGTGACATTGATATCCATTCATCTTCCCCTCTTTGCCCAGTTAGCCCTAGATATATTTCTTGGCACCGTCATATTCGAAAGCTAGTTCTTCATATTAACTGAGTTGCTTTTAAATACCATTGGGAAATAAAGCAGTTTATTACCATAGCAAGGGTTCAGAAGACTACCATGGTGCCCTGGATTCTAGGTCCAGTATTCCAGTGAATTAAATATGTTATTTGAGGCAAGTCACTTTGACTCTTTGGACTTGGGTTTCCTTACCAATAAAATAAAATAAAATCTCAGCCACCCATTTAGATTATGAAAGCCAGCTCTTAATATTAGGAAGGATCAGCTGTGGGTTGCTTCCTAACATGGGAATATGCTGCCTCAGAAAATTATCTCTTCAAAGGATGGAAAGATTCTTTTTGTATGCAAACAATTTCTTTCTCTGCTTTACTCTATTCACTTTTTTATATTGATGATGATGTTGAATAAACCAAATATAGAAAGATTTAACCCTCTATATGAAGCCCAACTTCTCAACTTTCAGGAAAACAGACTTCAAAACCACCTTTAGGTTAAGAAAAAGTATGTAGAATAGGTGTTTAGAGGGCCTTGAAGTACAGTTTTATGCTTATACAAGTTTTTTTTTTCTGCTGACTGTTGCTTCCATCTGTTGTAGTACTTTGGGTTTGAAGAAATGTTACACAAGATTTGAAGCTTTCTGTGGACCAGCACATACCTCATGAGCCCCAGTAGATTCATTCACTTTTACCAGCCAGCCAGAGGACATGTTAATTCAAAACAAAAGACAATTAATCAAAGGGCACAATAAAGTGAACAGAAAAGAAAAAAGCTCTTCCCATGGGCATATAGGGTACACTTTTCTATAGGTGCAGCCACTAGTGGGAGAATCTACACATGTAGAGAACAGGCATGACATTGAAGTATACATGTCAAGAATCAGTATGGGTAAGAAATGCATATAGAATACATATATTTAGTGAATATGTATGACCAGGACCCACATGTGGCCAAGGCAACTCACAGCTCCAGTGCTGCAGATCTACCAGTGCCTGGTGATATCCTCATCTCTATTGCTCTCCACTGGGTGTATTATTTCCTTTTCTCTTCTCCCTATATGGTAATGACTAGAATAAGAAGGAATGTGGCCTAGTTGGAAGCCTTTATTTGTTCTTCATAAAAGTCTACCCTTTCTTCTAGTCACCTTTGAAGAGCACGGCATTTTTTCTGGGTGTCATATCTACTGAGCATTGCCTTGTCTTTGCTAAGTGTTTCTGGTCACCAAGGTGTTTCCTGCTACCACCTCCCATCTACCTTCAGCTCAGGGGCATCTATTGACTCTCTACTCCCTCTCCTGGCAAGGGAAGGTTAAATTCTTTTAGTTCATAACTTAGGCTGTAAGCCACTATACTTGGCTCAGTGTAGCAAAAAGAAGTCAGCCAAGCTGAAGTTGTCTATTTTTCTGATTGACTTTCTAGTGCTAATTTGACTGCACATCAGCGTTTCTTAACCACTTTTTTTTGGCATTCTGGTGAAGTCTGCTCACCCCTTCTCAGAATAATGTTTTTACATGCATTAAGTAAAATATGGAGAATTACAAAGGAAAAAAAATTTGAAATACAAGTTATTAAAATGTAAATAAATGAAAAAATTCATAGATCCCAGGTTAAGAATTCCTGATGTACATGGACCCGGACAAGTATCTGATTTAAGGTTAGAACATTTCTTTTTTTTTTTTGCAAGGTAGTCAGGGTTAAGTGACTTGCCCAGGGTCACACAGCTAGTTAAGTGTCAAGTGTCTGAGGCTAGATTTGAACTCAGGTCCTCATCACTCCAAAGCCAGAGTTCTATCCATTGCTTACATAAAACAATCTTGTAAGGTAGCACAAGAATTATTGCTCCAATTTTATGGTTCGAGAAGTTAAGTGATTTTTTTGTGTCACACAACAAATTAGGCTCTAAGGTAGGATTCAAACCCAGATTCAATACAGCATCCATTTTATAACAGTCTCAATTTGTTTCCTTTGAGCCAAAGAAGGTGAACTCATTGACATAAGAAATGATAAATGTTTGCCTCACTGGTCCCCTCATCCCTATGATTGCCAAGAGCCCACCTCAGTTCTTGAAGGAGGAGAATAAAAATGTTATGAGCATGTTCCTTATTTATTTGGCAAAAACTTCTGAACCCAAGCATGTTATTTCATGCAAACCATTCGTGAGGGTTCATAAATAAAATTTTGGAATATGGAAGGAGAGGTCCTTTTGTTCTTTCTTTAATTGCTTTTCAGATAAAACAACCACACAATCGTTTCTGTCCTTTCCTAGCCTCCATTTCTCAGAAGGGCTTCTATGGAACAGTAGTCTAAATTAACCAGACCCTATTCCAAAGGACTGCCATTCCTCGGCTGCTTTGCTTTGAATGCTCCACATCTGGGTTATGTGCTAAGGGCAGAGGCTGCAAAAGAAAAGGAAGGTGATCTTTAACACTCACACCTGCAGGCCTGTGAAGGTAAGGAAAGAGAAGACACAAAACAGAAACTCTCCCCCATGGCTCCTTGACCCAAGATTACTGAAGGAGCATCTTGTGCCCAAACAGATCTCCGTAGCAAACAGGATTTTAGAATGTATGGCTATTTAAAAACACACTCACACTAATTCAGGGCTCTTGCTACGAGGTCTGCAAGAGCTATTGCAACAAGTCTAGGTGATCGCAGAAAGAAAGCAGGCCTAATAACAGCGGTATTAAACTGGGCCAAGCACATGACCAAGGCAATAATGTGCTTAAGAACAGGGCCTGGAATGTCAGGACCTTTGGTCAACAGCGCCCCTCTGAAGTCAAGGGGTATATGGTGGTTTGGAAAGCATCTGGCAGGGAAAGGGAAGATGCTGGTTTCTTTTCTTGCAGCTTAGCCACAGAGTTTAACTCTTGATGTACCAGTGTAATAGATACCAACCCCATTTTTAGTATCAGGATTAACAGGAACTTGAACCCACTAGCCTGATGTCATGAGTTTGATGGCATAAAGACAGATGGCATCCCCATACAGATACTTGGCACTTACAGCCTTCCACCATTAAAATTAACAACCTGTGATTTTAAAGAAACAGACACGATGGGCAATAAGATAGGGGTGGAGCTCCCTCTCAGCCCTGCACTATGTTTCCCTCCATTGACTTACAATGGAGAATAGTTTTTACCCCACATCGTGTAGTGGTTTGCATATTTGCTGATGTCTCCCCCAAAAGCACCAGGGGAATGAATCATTATTGAAACAATTTACTCTCAGTTAGTGCATGAATGCCTTCCCATGATGCTTTGATGCTTTGTTTGTCCTCCTATAAAAATTATTTATGACCCAAGTGTGATCTTTTAAATCAGAATACTTATTCCTGAAATCAAAGCTATAGCATGCTAATGCAAGGAGAAGCCTTGATAATTTTTCAAAGCCATGTTGAATATTCAAAAGCTGGAACTGAAGGAAAGGAGTTAACATTAATTAATATTTGAAGCAGTAAAATAAAAGCAACAGTGAAGCTAATTTTGCAGGACAATTAATCATGAGTCTTGCTAATTACACATGGGATTTTGCAAATGATTTTTTTCTCAGGTAGCAGAGTAAAAATGATAATCCGATACCCCTCAAAATCATTGGCTTCTCACCAATGTCCCCAGCAAGAGCAATTAGTGGAAACAGCAGAGCCCTAGTAATTGCATGTCAAGAGAGGAGAATGTTAGAATTTTAATTGCTCTAAATAAAGACCACTTGCTCATATGTACACCTGATTGTCCAAAACAAGTCTGCGAGCCAGAGCAAGCATGTAACCACTTCCAGGTGCCAACATAAAAATAACTCTGTGAGAGCAGCATTCTCTCAGCAACACATGCAGTTTCTGGAAGAAAATAGCAATATGCACTAACATTCTGAACTTCAGTGTCATCACTTGAATATAAGAACTGAAAAAAAAAAACCACCCACTTGGGGAAAATGTGCATATTCTTTATATTTGCCAAATATTTATTGCTGACATTTTTTTTGAAGAACTTTAACTATCTACAAGGTGCCAAGGGCTTCAAATTTACTGAATTTTAGGATCACCAATAAAATGTTTTTAACAAGACATCTCAAGAGGGCATAAAATAAAAAATTACCATATTCATGAGTATAAGCCTCTAAGATTGCAATGCTATAAACTGGGTGTTTATAATTTGCTTGTGGCTTTCTTAATTAAAAACTGGTAATTAGAAACTCAAGTCCTATTTTCCCACTTCATCTTCTACACTTTACATGCTACTGTTACTTTTCACTTTAATGTATGTACACACGGATGCACACAATTGCAAATGATCAATAATATTTAACTGTGTGTCTAAAACCTAAATGATGATGGATACATTTAAATATTGCTTTCCAGGAGATTATTACTCCAATGGTCATGTCCTGGCTTAAACATTTAGCTTAAACAAGACAGTTACCATTTTTTTGCTCTTCCAAACATGCATCATTTACTTTCATTTTTAAACCAAATTGCTGAATTACCTTCCAAGTACAACTGTGGTCTCTATTGTCTCTCAGTGTCTGCTTGCATCTTTAAGTACACCATATTGAGGGGCTAAAGCATGACCTTCCTGCCATAGCTTTGTCTGCTGGGCGTAGAGTGGAGAATGGCAGCCTAAACTTAGCGCGATATCTCCTTTGCACCTCCAGAATTGGAATACTTTGTTTACTATGCTGGGACGACTTAAAAGAAACAAGCAGGACATGTGGAGTGTTGCTTCCTTTCCTCAATTACCAGCAGATCACAGGTGTTTATCTGGTTCCCGGAGGTGATTCAGGTAATAAACACTAGGATGGCAGTTAAATGGTTAGAAGCTTTTCCATAGAAGACAGCCCTCACAGTCCTATCATTTCGTGTCTATTGCTCACAAATGGCAAATTATTTATGCAGCCTCCTTAAGTGGTTACTTATGGTTTTTATTTTTATTTTTTAAGCAGAAACCTTGGAAGATTTGCGTTTTCCTTCTAAGCAAGATCAACAATGTCCGCTTTTGGAGGAAACTCCCTTCTTCAGATTGTGGATTATATGTGACCTTAATCTACAGCCTCTCCTTTTGTTCAGATGTCACTGGGGTGGGGTGGCGGGTGGGGGATAGACTTGAAGGGGGAAGGGAAGTCCATGCCTGAGCAGCCGTTATTTATTTATAAGCATTTAACCGAGGCAACAGGCACACCCTGTGTTTTTTTTTTCATAGAGAGGTTTTTCAGGAGGCCCGTAACAAAGAAAAAGGGGAAAAAAGTGTGTGTGGGGGGGTGTATTTGAATCTAGTTGGGCAATAAAAAGGCTAAGTCTGATGTGGCTTTCAATAGGTCTGATATGAATTAAAAAATGATTGCTCGGAAGAGAAATATTTATAAGGCAGCACTGCTTACTATTATCAAAGGCATGGAGATGATTCTAGAATGCTAAGGGTTAGAGAATGTTTAGGGATGGAAAAGAGTGTAAAGAGGCAGGTTTCTAAAAGTTCCTCCCTATAAAACTGTTCTAGACCATCTCCAATGTTTTGACATGGAAGATGCAGGATTTGTTTTACCTGACCATTTATATTTGTTACATGGATCTTTTCTTTTTTCTCTTCTTTTCTTTCCTCCTTTGTTTCCTTTCTTCCTCTGCTTCCCTCTTTCTCTTCCCTACTTCCCTTTCTTCTTTCTTTTCTTTCCTTTCTTCCTTTCTTCCTCTTTTTTCTTTTTCTTCTTTCCTCTTCCTTTCTCTTTCTTTCTCTTTTTTCTTCCTTTTTCTTCTCTCCTTCCTTTCTTTCTCAAAGGAGGGAGAAGAAATTAAATGCTGATTAAATAAAAAAAGTAAAATAAAAGGTTTTGTCTTTTTTTTTAACCTACTGTGCTGTTCAGTTCTATGTTTTGCTTCTCAGCTTGTCTGTCAGCAACCTTGCAGTAATGCTAAAATGTTATCTCCATTGCTACTGTCTGCTGGTCAGGAGAAAATCCAAGTGAGGTCTTTGCTCAAAACATCTTTTCAATAGTAAGTGTTAAGAAAAGACCTTCACAATCATAAGTGGATATTTGTGCCATTCATTTCCAAATCAAGAATTGAACCATGTAAAAACTTTTAGTATTTTTTAGATGTTAGCTACCCATTACACTGAACAGTGTCATTCAAGTTCAGACTGACCTTTGCTCTCTTTCAGGCCTTCTGTTGCTTCTCTTGAGTTTAGGTTCCCCCATCATGCCTGTGATTTTTAGCTCCATTTAAACCTGCCATTGTAGTAAATCTCATCTTATTTTATAGGCCCTTGAAGACAGTTTATGGGACCCTGCCCAATAGGTGAACCAGAGAGCTACGGTAAGGAGACTCCCAGTCATTTGGGGAAGAGATTTTAAAAGATTTCCACCCACTTTAGAGCTCATTAATTTGCAGTAAGAGAAAAAAAAATTCTCAAGCATATCAATTTAGCATCAAAGGGAAATAATAATTCGAAGAGCAGCAATGGAAAATATAAATTCAAATGAATCCATTTAGCTAAAAGGAAATAAAGGGACAGATCACAGAATCTCCATTTTCTAAAGAACCACAGAAGTCATCTAGACCAATCTGTAACTACAACAACAACAAAAAAATGTCCTTGAAAACACACCTAATAAGTGGTTAGCTAGCCTTTGAAGACTTTCAGTGAGGGCTACACACTACCTCCCCCTTTTCAACTCCCCGTTGCCCTCTTTCAGGGGGCCAATGAAACCAAGCCTATTCCCTCTTCCACGTGGCATTTAAAGATAGCCATAATTTCCCCCCCAAGTCTTTCCTTCTCTAGTCTCAAAGTCTCCATTTCCTTCAGCTGACCCTCCCATTTTTTGCGCTTGAGTCCCTTACTATTCTGGTTGCCATCCTGCAGACCTTTTCCATCTTACAGTGTACTTTCTAAAATGTTGTGTCCAGAATTGGTCACAATCCTCCAATGTTCTGGCTGGCCAAATTATTTTCTAATCCTGGTTTGGTAATCTAGTGGATTAGTTATGAAACAGGGACCCAGATTTTCTACCCAAGGACTTCATTCTTAGAGGAAAGCTACTCAAATATCCCGTCTTGCTCAGGGATACTCACAGTCATATAACTTTGTTTTGTTGTATTATGCAATTAAATCATTGTGTTCTCCACATTCAGATGAGAACCCCATAAATAATTGACTTTCAGCAAGGGGCAAAGTTTCATATACCTTAGCAGTCTCTGAAACCAAAGTACATATTCTTTGGTAAATTAGTAGAACTTTAAATTAGTGGGGAGGGGGACTGAGATAGCCTTCCTACTATAGTTTGGGATCTCCTCAACCTCTGGATGCTTCAGATTTATAGGGGATGCTTAGGAAATAATTGTAGCTCTGCTCCTGTTACCTGGAAACATGATAGGGGAAAATCATGAAATTATAAAATCTGTAAAATTCTCTGGTGGGCATTCATGCAGCCTGACATTGGTCTGAAGCACTCCACTGTGGTGGCTTCAGAAATATAGATTAGGCTGAAATCCAGCCACCTCACTGATAACTAGTTATTAAAAAAATATTAAGAGTTTTGGGGATGTTAGAGCTAATGAGAAGCAGCCTGGTATAAAGAATAGAATGCTTCTCTAGTAGGCAAGAAGACAAGTTCAAATACTACCTCAATCACTTATTAGCTATGTAGATATTTAACCTCTCCCAGCCAAGGTTTCCTCATTATTAAAATGGGGATAATAATAGCATCTATCTCACAGGGTTGTTATAAAGGTCAAGTGCTATGATATCTCTAAAGTACTTTGCAAACCTTAAAGTGCTATGTAAATATTAACTATTATTAATGTAAAAATAGAGATTGCTCAAGAGAATGGAAGTAAACCTATGAGAAATAATAAAATCCATCCCCAATTAAGTTCTACAATGTACACATGTCAAAATAAACAAAACACCTGAAAATTTGAGGTTAATTTTGATTACATTTAGCAAGCATTTATTAAGCACCTACTATGTGCAGGCTACTATGGTAAGCATTGAGAACACAAAGACAAAATAAAACATTCCCTGCCTTCAAGAATGTTACGTTCTGTTGGGAGGAAGGATGTAATATGTACCCAGATAAATAGGTATAAAGTATAAACAACATAATACACAGTAATTTCAAGAGGGTGATAACAATAACAGCTGAGGATGTCCCAAAAGAAGATGTGCTTAGGTACAGGAAGTTTAGGTTTCAGTTTCCTGTTTTGCCATTTTTAATCTCTCCTCATTTAAAAAATCATCCTCCTTGGTAGGGAAGAGAAGGTAAATAGAGTCACATAGTTCTGTCTTCCAATCCAGTAAGCATTTATCGAGTGCCTGTTATGTGCGAGGCAGTGTCAGATGCTAGAGGTATAATGATGAAAAAAAACTGGTCCCTGTCCTCAGAAAGCTTACATTCTACTGGAAGGATATTACATGTAAGCAAGGATGGTAAATACATAATAATTTAAGGAGAAGGGAGATACAGTCCTAACTAAAGGTAATCAGGAAAGGCTTCTCAATAGGGGATTACAAATAAACTGAGCCTTAAAGGATACAAAATTAGGCGCAATAAAGGAAACGTTGCTGTTCGATAAATAAAATAATAACTGATGTGAGGCTTTCTCAATGAGAGATTATGAATCATGAAAAGGAAAGTAAGCAGGGTACCATAGAGAGTAGCATTGAAGACAGACAAGTATAATGTTGGTCATTTGCCTTGTCCTTCTGTTCTGTTCCAAAACTCCAAAGTAGAGGATGGTTGGACTTCATGATCATTCAGTGGCCCTCAGGAAACACTTTAGCAATGTGACAAAAGTACTTCAAAGTAGTCATGATCTGATACTATCAGCATGAGCTTAGATACAACTTGGTGGTATGGACATTTCCCCCTTAAAAATGCAAATAATTACCAAAAGAGAAAAAGGTTAGTATTCACTTATTTATATAGTAATTTCAAAGGGAACTAGTTCAATTCAATTCAACAAATGTGCGTTGAGCAGCTGTCACTTGAAAAACACAGTGCTAGAATCCCAGAAATATGAAGACATTAAAAAAAAACAGTTCCTGTTCTCAAGGAGCTTACATTCCCCTGTAGGGAACATAGCACATAAAAAGACAGATAATTTGAGAAGGGAGAAATCATTAACAATGAGAATTAGGAAAGGCTTTCCTTAGAACCTAGGCAGGTAAACTATGGCAGGGGAACCAAATCTCCTGATTTTGTACCGGCCAGGAGGGAAGAATGGCTTTTACATTTGACAACTGTCTTAGAAGGTAGTAACTGAGAGGAGCCTTGAATAAAAGTAAGAATCCCAAGGGGTGGAGTTGAGTAGAGAATATACTCCATGTTGGGAGGACTTGTACAAAGACATGGAGGCATCAACTGGATACAAAGTAAAGGGAAGAACAAGAAGACCAGTTTGGCTAAATCACAAAATACCTGAGTGGGGGGGTCATTGTGAATAAGTTTGTAAAGGTAAACAGAAGTCAGATTGTGGAGGGTTATAACTACAGGGCCAAGGAGTTTCTGTTTTTTCCTAGAGGCAATGGGGAGCCACTGAATATTCTTCAGCAGAGTAGTCATATGGTCGGTCATAGCTATACTTTGGAAGATTCTTTTAGAATCTATATAGAGCATGGATTTGGAAGGAAAGAGGTTAGAAGCAACAAGATCAGTTGGGTGTCTGTTGCATCATGGGTGGTGAAGGATGGTGTAAATGGTGAGGAGAGAAATGTGTGAGATGTCAAAGATAAAATTGAAAGACTTAGAAACTGATTGGATATAGAAAGCGAGGGAAAGTGAAGTTGTTTTTATAAGCATTTATGTAGTGCCTACTATGTGCCAGGTGTTTTTTTTTCAAATACTTCATTTGATCCTCACAACCACTCTGTCAAATAGGTGCTATTATTATCCCAATTTCATGGGTGAGAAACCTCAGAGATTTACTTAGGCTCACACAGCTAATTGTCTGAGGCAGAATTTGAACTCAAGTCTTCCTAATTCCAAGCTCAGCACTCTACTGTGCCACCAGCTAGCTGCCTCTGAGTTAAGCATAACTCTGAGGTTAAGAACTTGAGTGTCTAGACAAATGGTGGTACC